ATTTATACAGTTCTATATAGAGTACAAATGCACAAATCTGTACATAAATCTACTGATCCAGATTCATACACATTATTTTTTGTATACACATTATTTTTTGGTAAGTCTTACTATTTAAATGTTTTTTTCTGTTCTCATGTCAGATGTGAATGTATGTATGTATGTATGTATGCACGTGTGTATGTACCAGGAGCACCTGAAAAAAAAATAAAAAATAAAAAAAATTCCTAGTGTGTTTGCGCATACCTTTCGAATAAAGCTAATTCTGATTCTGATTTTATATCTCATAATTCTGAGGAAAAATAAGAACTGCGAGTTTATATCTCATAATTCTGAGAAAAAAAGTAAGAATTGCGAGTTCATATCTCGTAATCTTAATTTATTTCTCACAATTGCAAGTTTATATCCCGCAATTCTTACTTTATATCTCACAAATCTGAGAAAAATGACAGAATTGCGAGTTTATATCTCATAATTCTGAGAAAAAAAGTCAGAATTGTGAGATAAAAAGTTGCAATTACCTTTTTTATTTTTTATTTAGTGGACCCTTGCTGGACCCCCTGCAGTTTGCTTACCGAGCAAACAGGTCTGTGGATGATGCAGTCAATATGGGATTGCACTACATCCTCCAACATCTGGACAAATCAGGGACTTATGCAAGGATCTTGTTTGTGGACTTCAGCTCCGCTTTCAACACCATCATCCCGGACACGCTTCAGAATAAACTGACCCAACTCTCTGTGCCCACCTTCATCTGTCAGTGGATCACCAGCTTCCTGGCGACTTTTTTTTTAATCTTGCGATTCTGACTTTTTTTCTCAGAATTATGAGATATAAACTCACAATTGCGAGTTATAAAGTCAAAATTGCAAGATATAAGATAGAACATATCAGTCTTTTTTTCTCAGAACTGGACTTTATAACTCGCAATTGCAAGTTTATATCTCAATTCTGAGAAAAAAGTAAGAACTGCGAGTTCATATCTCATAATTCTGAGAAAAAAGTCAGAATTGCGAGTTTATATCATAATTCTGAGAAAAAAGTCAGAATTGCGAGTTTATATCTCATAATTATGAGAAAAAAATCAGAATTGCGAGTTTATATCTCATAATTCTGAGAAAAAAAGTCAGAATTGTGAGATAAAAAGTTGCAATTACCTTTTTTATTTTTTATTTAGTGGCGGAAATGGGTTTCCACAGAGACGCTTTAGACCACGTAGCATTAAGTTTAGTTTATAACAGGGCTGTCAATTTCATATTTAGTTCATTAGGCCAAATTGTTTTACTTCAAGCAAAACATTGGATTAAATCACTATGGACTGTCGGGCAGTGACTGACTGATGATCAGTGAAAGAAAATAAAACTAAGCCATATACTGACTGTTAAATGGACCTTACTTATCTACACAATAATACATTTGAATTATCTGTATTTAGCGAGTCACTCTGATTAAATAATGGATAGATAAATCATTAGATTCAAATGTTTAACAAATTGAAAGCCCTAGTTTATGCTTTCAGCTAAATGCTATTGGGTAGTTATGTCCTGTACCACAGTTTGAATGGTCATTTAGCAAGATTTAAGGAGTGTTTCAGAAGAAAATAATATTTAAATTTTTCTACTTCAAGATATCACATTTAATTGAATGTGTTACAGTGTCTTAGTAATTGTTTGTGAAATTGACTATACTAATTTTACAATAAATGCTAAATTGCATTCCATAATGAAAACTGCCTTTAATAAGGGAGAAAATCCAAAATGTTAGGTTTTTTGATGTCAGTTCTTAATGCTCTTAGATTTATGCATGTATTATGCTTTTACACAACCTTCATGCAAACCACTCATCCTGCTCAGGTAACATGTCACGGATGGAGTAAAAGCTCTCTGGGATGTCTGTCGGCACAGGCTTTTATTCAAAATTAGGCACTTCATGCAAACACACACAGAAAGTTTCTGATTTAAACCACATGAAGGAGAACGCTAAAGAAATCACGAGGCCAGAGAGATGAGCTTCCTGTTTTCATTTGTAAGACGCTATGACATTAAAGGTTTGAGATGTTTTAACAAGTGACACAGAATATGACCTCATTTAAAAGCATTTTAGAGTACATAGGAGTCAAGGAATAAATGGACTTATCCTGTTATAATGTATTGGATTTGTGGTTATTAGTAGCTTTTGGCAGTCCAGTGTCCAGGTTTTATCCTCAGGCTCAGAACAAACCAATGCAATTGCTAAGCAGTCGTTCAGTGGGGTCTTTTATGTTTATCCATACATTTTAAGATACTAAAATATAGAACAAAAAGGCTTGAATAAGGACCAGTAAGTACTTTAAAACCCATTAGATTTACACGACTCAGAAATGTAATAACGTATTGTACAGATCCCAAGTTGCGCTCTTAATTAGCAATGTTTTAAATTTAAAAACATTTGACTTAAATATAAACTCCCGGTTTCACAGACAAGGCTTAAGCCTAGTCCCAGACTAAAATGTAAGTCTGAGCTGTTTCAACTGAAAGAAACCTGCACTGATTGCCCTGAAAATATATCAGCGCCTTTGTTTTGTCTCAAGAAGCACACCAGTAAGGTTTTTGATAAAAATTACATAAATCTTCTTTAACTACGATCTAATCCTGGCTTAGTCTAAGCCCTATCTGTGAAACCAGGCCTAAAGTATTTAAAAGTGTTTAAAATGTTCCTAATAAAGAGCTCGATCGTGCTGCGAAATAAAACAGCATTTCCATTCACAATGCAAATCGAGGCGAAGAGCTTATTTGCTTAATACATGCAAAGTACGTAAACAAAAATTTCAAAGCAAGCAATGGCATGACATCAAAAAAGTTTTTTTTGGTCAAAATAGGACAAATAAATAAAGGAAACGTATAGGTGAGAAGGAATAAAGAGTTATGCTGTACATAAATATATGTTTCCTGTTTTACAAAGAGTCAGTCGATATCTGTCAGGTCTTTTCAACATGTTATCTGCGTGAATTCATGTGACTCTCCAGTGGCTGGAAGATCTCTCCGTCAGACTGAACTCTCCACTGTAGCTTGGCATCTTTAGGCATCCCCAGACTCACGAGTTTCTGCTGGATCTGAGATCATAACAGCCGTGAGTGAAACAACACATACAGTAACTCACACTCAGCTCGATCACAACGCAGTCAGACTCACCTTCTCCATGATGGACACCTTTATCACAGGATCATTCACATTCTGACCCGATTTCAGCTTCACTTTCAGGATCTGCATCTTCACTCCTGCGGGAACAGATGTGATTATGAGATCACGATGGGTGTCACGGTGGTAAGGGATATGTGGGAAATTATGTGGCAACAGGGCTGCGCTATTAATTCTTTTTTTAACAATAAAAAGAAATAAAAAATAATTTACTAGCTATTCTTCCATGTCAAATGATTAATTTAAAGAGTAGTTCGCCCCAAAAATGAAAATGAGATGGAAATGTGCTCATCCTCAGGATCATACAAGATTAGGATGAGTTTGTTTCTTCATCAGGTTTGTAGAAATGTAGCATTGCATCAGTGTCTCAGCAATGGATCCTCTGCAGTGAATGGGTGCCGTCAGAATGAGAGTCCAAACAGCTTATAAAAACATCACAATAATCCACAAGTAATCCACAGCACTCCAGTCCATCAGTTAACATCTGGAGAAGACTAAAGCTGAGACAAATCCAGCATTAAGACGCTTTTAACTAAAATACATTGAGTCCATAATCCATAATAACGCTTCCTCAAGTGAAAAGTGCATCTCCTGTTGTCTCTCACATCAAAATCCATTTATCAGCTGTTTGGACTCTCATTCTGACGGCACCCATTCACTGCAGAGCATCCATTGCTGAGACACTGATGCGATGCTACTTCTCATTGCAAACTGTTCATCTGTGCACGTGTTTAACAATGTTTTGACCTCATAATGTTCAATCATAATGTTATAACTGTTCCAATAACTGGAAAATACAGACTTCTTCTCGTTTAAGCCCCGCCCCTGCATTTTTGAAAGACACGCCTACATCTCAACATCCAGTCAGCAACTGATGCACAGAACCATGGTGACTTTAATGAGAATCTGACGTAAAAGCAGCTCACCGTCTTGGCAGATGAATGGTCTTGTTTCAGCGCAGTTCTGATCAGCCCATGTGTTTATATCGGACAGTTTTTGCAGAACACAAGCTCCAGAGCCATCAGGTTCACCAACAGACCAGCGTCTGAATGAGGACCTGCTCTTATCCGACCATCTGAACAAATCTTTGAACAGCCCGATGAACACGAGAGCTCTCTGCGGCACCAACGCCTGGATCAGCTGCTTCTCATCCGGGTTCCTCACGCTGACCAGATCCGTGTGCTTCTGCCTGCAGAACGTCTGCGCATCGCTCCAGCTCTTGCTTTGACTGACAAACACGTACCTCTGAAGGACATTTTCCTTTCCTGGGACGCCATAAGACACTGTATGTTCACTACAGCAAAACTGGGTCATTGTGAAAATCAACTAAACAAGGCTTGGACGTGGGCTAGGAGACAATTATATAACTAACACATAAAAATAAAAACATAAATAAAATGCATTGTTCCTGAATTCTCAAATATTAACCAGTGGAAAAAAACAAATGTACTCAGATCAATTACTTCTCAATCTCATTTCTATAATGCATTAAAATGTTTTAAATCAGTGAAAAAAAGCAGTGCAACAAAACAAGGCTTAATTTATGTGAAATGTAAGATATTTAGACTTAAACGTATGATTTATGTGTATTAATTTCATATAAAATTGCCATCCATTTAGATTACACAGTTTTAACACAAACTAATAAACCTAATGTGACGCATAAGGAAAACAGGTCAGATTTCTGCAAGATTTCTCTTGTAAAACATTATTCATTATTATCTATTTGATTTAAATAATCATATTTTCAAATCAGTATAAATCTGTTGATTGTGAAAACAATTACATTTATTCAGTTCAGAAGTATGAACAGGGTCAAAATATGGTTAGAGGTGGAACAATATTACATTAGTGAATCAATATTCAAATAGATAACATGTATGAGATTGAAACAAATTGGATTTATTGATGAAACATATATAAAGCTGGTTATTGTGCATTTAAAACACATTCGGTTTATTAGTGCTATTATAGAAATCTGACCTGTTTCATTCAGGGTTTTTATTGTTTACTAAAACTTAAAAAAAGCAAGGCAAAATATTTCATTTTCATTGAGTTTAACTCGATTTACTAAAATAAATAAATAAATATATATATATATATATATATATAGACATAAAAACACAAAAGAAAATTACTAAATTTTTTACTTAGGTTAAAATGAAAATGTAAAAATACAACTAATTCAAAATATTAATAAAAATCATAATAGTAGTATCTCAATGACACTTAACTAACACTGGTTTCATTGATCTATGACTGACAAATATGCATCACATTATTTTTTTTAGTTTATGTTAAAACTAGTGCTGTCAAATGATTAATCGCGATTAATCATTTGACGGCACTAGTTAAAATTGTGTAATGCAAATGAACGGAACTTTTATGTGCAATTCAAATCGTAGGTGAAGCGTACAGTGAGATAGAAACACTGGCACAGACTGTCCGTGAGCTCACTGTGTCCTCACCATTATAACAAATAAACGTATAACGACTTGCACACGAAACGTCCCAAAACTCTCCAGCGTCATCGACGGCGCCGCAGTTTTCGCTTCCTCCGGCGTTGTCCAGCTGTCCGTTTTTCCAGCATCTGTACTCGGCTTCTCCTTCCCCGTAGAAAGTGCTGTCGGACAGAGACCAGAACCAGTCTGGCTCGCCTCTCTTCAGGCCGATCCACGCGCTCGGATCCGTGATCCCGCTCACCGCGGCCTGCAGACGGCTGGAGTCCGCCGCGTCTTCAACGCTCGCCAGATCGCCGTGAAACCGTCCGCAGTACATCTGCGCATCACTGAATGTTTTCGCCTCTTTAACGAAGACAAACTGTTTGGAGATCGCAGACGAGATGCACATACCTGTGAAAGAGCGACAGTCTTGCATATTATGAATATATAATCCAGTCAGTCAGTTTCTGAATTTGATAGAAAAAGCAAACAGGTTGCAGAATAGCAAATTAAACGTGAGTTTAAGTGGACTGAAGTCCAAAGGAATGCATTAAGTAGATCAAATTAATAATGAATGCGTAATGCATACATTTTTCAAATATTACCCTTAAATGTGTTGTTATACACGCAAAATATGGGCCACTCCCACACAGTAAAAATTATGTTACAATAACATATCAAACCATTTTTTTTTTAAGTTGTGTGAAATTCAACTCAATTTTTGAAATTCAATTTAAAAAAAAATGAAGGCAGCAAATCAGCTTACGTTTTGAAGTGTGTGGAAATTGTTTACAGTTCAAAAACAACACTTGATATTAATACCCAGTGTTTTAATGCCATTTAGAAATTTGTTTTCATATTATATTTTAGTTTATTTAATGCACAGTGGTGGAAGAACTCTACAGAATGCTAATTTGCTAATCAAATAATGAATTATTATTTATTGAACAATGCACTTACCCAAGACAAACAACATGAGATTCATTTCTGGACTCGTGACTTCACAAAGCCCATGATTTTAGACACCTTTCTTCCTAAAAACTGAAGAGAAGATTGGTTTGGAAAGTATTTTCGTCATTCGTCACAACTTCTGAAACAACTAATAGTTGCATCTAAACAAGAAACCAGATCACGCTGGATCAGATGCTTTTTTTAATTTATTTATTTTTTCAATCGATGCCACATGAGAAACCTTTAAGGTTTCATGTTTTGCATTCGTATAAGAAGAAGAATATAATATGCATATATTAAGTTAAATATATTTTACAACAAACAAGAAAATGTACCTGCGATTATGGAGAAATAGTTCAGCTTCTGCTCGCAGACGTGTGCTGTGTTTGCTCAAAGATGGAAACACAGAT